GGGGGGTTGAGGCAACACTTTTTGTATTTTGTTTACTAGTTCTTGAAGACAAAGTTTTGATTGGCTTCTGTGGTGTAGTGGTTAGACACTCCGCCGTTGCACGCAGAAGAAGTGAGTTCGATTCCCATGTTGAGAGATTTTTTTTGGTTATCGAGTATCTCCGTCTGTCTGCTGGGACGTTGCATCTCTCTCAGCCTGGAATGACCCGGGTAAACGTATCAAATGAAGTCAATTGAACAATATTTGACGAAAACAACATGGGAACTTTAATACCGCAAGGTAAGAAAAAAAGAAAATGGAACAAACAAACAAACACACAGACAAACAAACATACAAACACATAAAATAGAACAAAACAAAACAACAACAAAAAAACAACAACACCTAAGACAATAACACGATTTGCTGCAAACAGCAGCCAATCTGCTGTGTACAGCGTCGATCCTGAAAATCATATTAATTTTAATCAGATTTTTTTTAAAGGGGGGAGGGGGGTACAATGTAATCAAATATAATATACTAAGATTAGAGCCAAAAATAAAATAAAAATAGAATTAACCCCAGGCTTCAAAAGCGAGCAATATAACCATGATACGCCAAACCACACTCACTTCAGAAATAAATCAAAATGAAAAACACATAGTGGAGTAAAGTTGTTTATTGCTATATACAAATGAAACCAAACTTTAAAAAAAAAAAGCATAAAACTTTCAAGAGAAAAGAAAGACAAAACATCCACTGAAGGTCATTTTTTCTTCTTTTGGGCCTCAAAGCTCGGAACATGCACTGTGTGATTTATGGTTAAGCTTGGGACTGTACTAAAATTTTTTTTTTTTTAAATGCATTTTCAGGAGACCTTGCGTACCACTTTCTCCTAACTGGTCGTTGCACACGGAAGGCGTGGGTTTGATTCTCGAGTGGGAAAATTTTTTAATGCATTTTCCTCGAGTATTTCCACGTCATATCTGTGGCCAGTAACATGGCAAAACATAAGTGGTCTATGGCCCACCGCCTATAGGATTGCGTCAGTTCATTTTTCAACTCACGCGTTTAGGCGTGAGGCATGAGTGTGACTGTGAGACGTGAGGCGTGAGACGTGAGGCTTGAGACATGAGGCGTGAGACGTGAGGCGTGAGTTTCCTATGGCCCGGAAGCCTAAGTAGACACATCTCTATTTGGTTGCTTTTAAGGACAGTCGAGCTAACCCAGATTTCGGGGGTTTCCATAAATCTTGACCTTCACCAAAAATGGGCATTGCCCTACCTATAGGAGAAGTTCGGTTTGATTGGTGAGTATATTTGTTCGGTTATAGAGATAACTCTCCTTGTCTTTTAAAGAAACTGAACATAGGGCAAAAACTTTACCTTCGATTTTCTCAAAACTGAATTTTTCGTGATAGCCCCCATTGTGCTTAAAAGCGACCAATTGTAAACATACTACTTTTAGCTATATCATCAAAACGTGGAGAAGTTTATACTGTCAGCATAATTCAACAATCGCCCAAAACATTTCTGGGGGGCTCCAGATTTAAACGTCACAGGAATTAAGACAAAATTAAGCACCTCACTATCATATACTTATCATTTTGCTGGGCTTACTTTCCCCCTTCTAATTTTTAATCGAAATAAAAACACCAAGTAGTGTCCCAGTCAAGGTACTTTTTTGGGCAATCTCTTTTTTCCTCTTTTTAAAACTAAAAATAACATCTCTCGCTCGTGTGTAATGACGTTGGCGATACGCATTCTCTACAAAGTATGTAACAATAACAACAACTTCAATATACACGTACATGATATAATTATGATATGTAGACAACTTTTCATATCAACAATGGCGGTTATGATATTCTTTGGTATGACTTTAATCGTCTGCAGGCTGTAACTCTGGTAAAAATATTTCTTTAAAAAATGAGACTAAATCTAAAGCAGGACTATATACAAGCCTACAGGCCTATGCTGGGAAACACAAGGAAGCAATGCCTGGCCCGTACAGAGCAAACCACAGGCCTGCTGTTAAAATGTTCTAAGTTTAACAGTTTGAATTGGTTTTATCGCAGTTTTTCTGTCTGTATCATCGGTTGTAAGTGATAAAGAAATATTTTGTCTGAATTAAAATTTTAAATGATTTATAAATTAAATTTATAATAATAATATCAAATATTATAAATTAAATGAATGTTTTACAAAATCAAAGAAGAAAAAATAACTTAAAAAAGAACACGCACAAACAAATAAAACACGATAGATAAAAATAAACCAAAACAAAAAACACCCCCTCCCGCAAAGAAAACAACAACAACAACAACAACAACAACAACAATAAGCAAAAAGTACATCAATTATCTTTACAAGAACAAAACAGTATTTAAAAAAAATATCTGTCGTGAAAAATGTTTCAACATCTTGCTGAACGGCTTGCCCCCACCTCTCTCTCTCTCACTAACTCCCTGTGTGTCTTGTATTCTTCCTTTGTCATGTATGTGT